GAAAGGGGAATAAGGAAAATAGAAATGTGTGAAGAGTAGTGGGAGCACAGAGGAGAAATGGTGATGGAGGATTGTTTCCTCCTAGTATAGAGTGAAAGAACGACCGGACAAGGCTTGTGAAGTCAGAGAAAGTACTGGTTATTGAGGAACAGCTTTGCACATTTATAGAGCTGGGGGCGGTTCAACAGAGCAGGGTATTTGGAACTTTCTGATTGGTGGGTAAGGATTGTGAGGGTCAGCAAGGCTCACCACTGGGCAGCTCTTCCCGCCACTGTCTCGGGGCATGGGGAAGTTAGTACCGGAAGAGAAGCACCGTGGGTGCCATCTTTGGAGCTGGGGCGACTCCCAACACAGAGGGTCAGGCCTGGGCAGGAGCCTGATTTAGTCAGAGGCTCAGCTATGGGGTCACTGGGAACTCTGTGAGAGGGTTTGAAGCAACAATTGTGAGGCTTGGTCCCAGTGGCTAAGGCTTTACCTTTTTTTGTTTTTTAATACCAGGGATTGAACCTAGTAGTGCTTAACCACTAGTCCTTTTTATTTTTTATTTTGAGACAGGGTCTTGCTAAGTTGCTTAGGGCAGCACTAAGTTGCTGAGGCTAGCTTTGAACTTGTGATCCTCCTGCCTCCACCTCCCAAGTCGCTGGGATTATAGCCACTGTGTCCAGCACTCTACTCTTTTTTTTTTAATTGATTAAAAATAAAAAAGACAGTGGAATGTATTACAATTCTTGTTACACATATATACCACAATTTTTATATCTCTGTTTGTATATACAGTATGTTGATACCCAAAATGTGTCTTCATACATGTACTTTGGATAATGATGTCTATCACATTCCACCATTCTTGCTAATCCCCTGCCCTCTCCCTTTCCCTCCCACCCCTCTTCCCTATCTAGAATTCATCTATTCCTCACATGCTCCCCCTCCCTACCCCACTATGAGTTAGCCTCCTTATATCAGAGAAAACATTCAGCATTTGGTTTTTTGGGATTGGCTAACTTCACTTAGCATTATCTTTTCCAATCCCATTTACCTACAAATGCCATAATTTTATTATCTTTTATTGCTGAGTAAAATTTCATTGTGTATATATGCCACATTTTGTTTTAATCCATCATCCACTGAAGGGCATCTAGGTTGGCTCCACAGTTTAGCTATTGTGAATTGTGCTGCTATAAACATTGATGTGGCTGTGTCCCTGTAGTATGCTGTTTTTAAGTCTTTTGGGTATATCTGAGGAGAGGGATAGCTGGGTCAAATGGTGGATCCATTCCCAGATTTCCAAGGAATCTCCATACTGCTTTCCATATTGGCTGCACCAATTTGCAGTCCCACCAGCAATGTATGAGTGTACCTTTTCCCCCACATCCTCACCAACACTTATTGTTGTTTGTCTTCATAATAGCCGGCACTCTACTCTTATGACTTCAGTTGCTGCTGCTGTAATCTCTCCCCTACCACAGGGCATTTAGTCCAACCCATTTCTGAGGTATCAGGCATAGCAGGGCCTTTTACTTTTTTACTGAGATGCTCAAACAACCTTACAATGGAGAAGAGGGAAAAGGCCCCAGGTGGATGGCTGGGAAGGATTTTTATTGAGAAGAAAAGAGAGATTCAGAGTCCTTAAAATGCTTAAGAGAGGTGGTGACTCTGCTGGAGCAAACTCTTGCTGCCTCCAACCAAGCTTAGGCCTGTAGATCTGCTCAGTGCAGCAGCAAGGACAAGGTCAGAGAAAGGAAGGAAAGGTTAACTTTAAAAAGGTTTATGAACCCCTTTGCTAGTCAGCTTTCCATCACTATAGCAAAATACCTGAAGCAATTAATTAATAAAAGTTAAAATATTTATTTTGACTCATGGTTTTATAGATTCTAGTTTATAATCAGACAGACCCATTGCTTTTAGCCCTCTGATGGGGTTACTACATGACAATGGCAAGGAGCACATGATAGAGTAAACTGTTCACCTCATGGCCAGGAAGCACCTCATGACCTCTTAAAGGGAAAGCCCTCAATGACCTAATGATTTCCCACAAGGCTTCACCTCCTAATAGCACACTGGGGACCAAGCCATTAAGACATGGAACTTTGGGGGACACTCTAGCCATAGCACCTGAGTCTCTGAAGAGAGGTAGTTTGGGTGTGAGCTGGTTGGGGGCAGGGGTAAAGAGGGGAAAGGGAGATCCTTGTGCTTAGCCCAAGTCTGAGGCATGTTTTAACTATTGTTAAGTATGCATCTCTCAAAGGAAACAATACTCATATGCTAGGCTAGATGGCTCCTGGGCCCTTGCTAGAGGGTCTCTCCAGTCTCGGGTTGGAAGAGAGCCTTTCTCTGTCCACCTGTCACTCCCTGGCTGGTGTAGTGACAATGACTGGGTAGCTTGAAAGTACAACTTCATGTCCAAGGCATCCATGGGAAGGGGACTTGAAACAACAATCAATATTCTCCCAAAGACACCCAGCCCTTTCATACTTATACTGCCTTCACCTCTTCTAGACAGTTCTGATACACTTGCATAGCCCTCATCCCTGCAGTCCTGTTGAGCCTATCTCTGAACCTTTAGTACCACACTTCTTAAATATAAGCATCCATACAAATCATGTGGGGATATTGGTCTGGAGTGGAGCCTGAGTGTCTGCATTTCATACAAGGTCCCAGGTGATACTGATGTTACTAGTACAGGGACCACCCTTTGTTAGCAGGGTGGTGCCACACTATATACCCACACTATCCCCAGATAGCTCCTCAGAGAGCCCTCTATCTTGTCCTTAACCTGGTTCTATTCTTAGTGCCAGGAGGGGACAGCCATTTGCAAGGGAAGGAGAGGAGAGACTGCCCAAAACTCAGGTTGGGGAGGCAGTTCTTTAGGAACTCCGGCTGGTTCTAGGCATGAAGTCATTTACAACTATTTGTTCCAAGTGTGGTTCTTCTGAATTCAGTCATTTTTTTAGTTAATATTGCTTAGTTAACACCTGCTCTATGTACAGCCATAGCACTTGAGGCTTTATCTATATTACCTCAATCCTTCCCTGAACCAAGTAAGGTAAATATCATTTTAATTTTCAAACTGAAGAACCAGATTGTGTAAAGTAATATGTTCAAAGTCACACCTTGAAGGTGATTTGAATCTAATTTGTTCATCTTTCATACTCCAGTCCCTCTTCAGAGACATCACATAAAATCATGAGATTAATACCTTACCAGAACTAACACAGCAGGGGGACTGCTGTCTTGCAAAGCAGTCACTTGGAAGGCTGGCACCTAGTACAATCATGTCTCTAGAGCTCAGTGCATACTCAGGGCCCTTCTTCAGAAAATAGCATGGATGTTTTCTGATCATGAACTTTCTGCTCAATGAGTTCTCCACAAGAAGGAAATATTGAAGCCACTGAAGCAATCAATAACTCACGATGGAGAGCCTGGCAGGAAACAGAAAGAAAGAAAAAGCACTGGGAACAGAGAATGCTGAGCCCAGGAGAGGAAAAAAGAGGGCAATGCAGGAAAAGGAGAGGAAAGGAATCTTAGCCATTACATTAATTTCTGGCCCCACATTTTAGGGGCACCTATATTCTAGGCAGAGGGCTGAGTACTGGGTATATAAAGATATGGCTCCTGCTCTTGAAGATTATAGACCAGGAGTGAGGCAAATGAATAGCAATTTTCATAGTATGCTAAATGCTACAGCATAGATTTTTTTTAATTTGGTAGAGTTTAATGGTGAGAAATATTATCTTTAAACTTGTAACCAATTTTCGATTAAATCTGTACATACATTATCATTCTATTTCTTTCTTTTTTTAAAACATGGAGGGAAGGAGGGAGGGAGGGAGAGAAAGAGAGAGAATTTTAATATTTATTTATTTTTTTAGTTTTCGGTGGACACAACATCTTTGTTTGTATGTGGTGCTGAGGATCGAACCCGGGCAGCACGCATGCCTGGCGAGCGTGCTACCGCTTGAGCCACATCCCCAGTCCCTACAGCATAGATTTGTATAGAGTGTTGTAAATGCACAGGAGAGAAGCACCCATCCTACTCTAGGGAATTAGGGAAGACTTCTAGAAAGCTCAAGGATGAAGCATGTTGGGAAACAGAAGTGAACCAAATAGAGAAAGGAGTGAGGAAGAAGAAGAAAAGAAAGGCCCATGAGGAAGATGCATAAGATTATATAGCAGGCGAAAGAATTAGCTCAATTGTGCTAGAATGTTCAATGTTAGGAGGTAAAGTGCAGGTGATGAGACTGGGAGGAAGATTTAAAATGAGGAAGCGTTTGTAAATCAAATTCAGGGCTTTGGACTTGAACTGGCAAGAGTGGGGAGTCACTGAAGAATTTTCAGCCCATTGTCAGATTTACATGGGTAGAATCAGTCTGGGAGCAGTATCAGGAGAGTGGGCTAGAATGATTAAACTAGAGGCAGGATGGCCCTCTGGCCAAGAATCATTGCAAGAGGCAATAAGAACTTGAAAAAGACAGTGTTCAGGAGATTAGAAAAGGGGGATGGAGAAGAAAAACATAACAGAGGGTAGGCTACTGGGGCTTAGTGGCTAATTGAACCTGGGTTTGAGGGAAAAGATTTAGGCAAGGATGACTTGTTTCCCTCCTGACTCAGGTGACTGGGTGAATTGTGATGCCACCAAACAACAACAACAACAACAACAAAAAAAAAAACCAGAAATACATTTTAATGACTTTGTTTTGTGCAGGAGTGTGTGTAGATTTATTTGGAGAAATAACATGAGGAACACCAAAATAAAAGGCATATGCAGAAAACTGGTAGCCATGGTAAAGGGTGCAGGTGACAAGAGAGACTGGAATCAAGGATGTCTGGGAAGGGCAGGGTTTTAAGAAGAGTAATGTAAGACAGGAGGAAACTAGAACCAGAATCCTGAAGGAGCTCTTGCTATATGACAGGAGACTGTTAGAGAATGAGGCTGAGAGGAAAGGGCCATCAGAGAAAGGCCAGCTGTCTAAAGACATAAAGAAAGAGAACTGATAACACACTTTTCTTGGACTTGTTGACATTTCAGCAAAAACTTTATTTTGTTCTCAACAATTATGGATCTGATCCTTGGAACCTTGAGATTTCCCACAGAGGGAAGCCCTCTGGTAGAGAAGTCCAGTCATGGTCGAGATCATGGTGGGTCTGCTGTTTTTCAGGAAGTGTGGGCTGAAGACAAGGAAATCTGGGCAGGGTCTGGCCAACCTAGAAGTGACAGCAAGGAGTGGGGTGTGGATTTTCCCCAAGTTCTGGCTGCATCAGAGTCTCCTGACTTACCCTTGGGCCACCATTCCCAGGCTGTGATTTAAAAAAAAAAAAAAAAGCGCAACATTAGACTTCTAGTCCTTTGAGGCAGGAGGCAGTGCAGATTTAATAGGAGTGGACTGGGATTCCAGGACAGAGATGGGAGCAGAGGAGAAAAAAAAATTTTATTTTATTTTTTTTTTTGGGGGGGGGTTATTGGGGATTGAACCCAGCATGCTCTACTAATGAGCTACATCCCCAGCCCTGTCTATTTTATTTTTATTTATAGACAGGATCTCACTAAGTTGCTTAGGACCTTGCTAAGTTGCTGAGGCTGGCTTTGAATTTGTGATCTTCCTGCCTCAGCCTCCCAAAATTGCTGGGATTACAGACATGTGCCATTGCACCCAGCCTGCATTGAGATTTTTACAGAACTGGGAACTCCTATTCCACCAATTGTGAACATCCAGATGGAGGCTCAACCTTGGAACTTATACTCTGTAATGTGGTAATCATAATTTCTCACTTTTAAAACCTCCAATAAGGGGCTGGAGTTGTGGCTCAGTGGTAGAGCACTTGCCTGGCATGTGTGAGGCTCTGGGTTTGATCCTCAGCACCACATATGAATAAATAAATGAAATAAAAGATCCACTTACAACTAGAAAATATTTTTTAAAAAACCTTCAATAATACCTTTTTGTAAAAATAAATAAATAAAAGTAAAAAAAAAAAATCACTTGACTTACTTATTAACTTATCTTCAGGCATTGTAATGGAGTCAGAAAGCAGCATAGTTTCACTGTGCCCAGAGAAGTTTTAAAAAATTACAGGCATATACCTGTAATCACAGGAACTCAGGAGGCTGAATCAGGAGGATTATAAGTTCAAAACCAGCCTCAGCAATTTTGTGAAGCCCTAAGCAATTCATCAGGACCCTGTCTCAAAATAAAAATTAACAGGGCAGGAGATATGGCTCGGTGGTTAAGCACCCCTGGGTTCAATTCCTGGTACAAAAAAAAAAAAAAAAAAAAAGGTACAGGTAAATATTTGTTCTATTTCCTGTATCCAAACAATGAAACTTATGAGTGAGTTGGCAGGGTACTAAAGTACAGGAAAGGCTTGTGACTAGCAACCTCAATGAGGTTGGACAGACTTCTCCTGAAATCTTGACCTTGAGGACCTACTACATTCTGAAAAAAAAATCATGGGCAGGAACACCCTATCTTTGGCTATTTATAAAAAATAATTACAAATTCTGGGAATGCTGTCAAAATTGAATGAAAGTATTATGCTATTTGATGCATTTGAAATAACCCAGTAAATTGAATTTTTTTTTTCATGCTATGAAAGGATTGCTTGTTTTCTAGAGTTAAATCTTGGTTACAATTAGAAAGGAGACTCCAGAAGTTACTATGTTCCCTGGCAGGAGAACAATACTTTTTCTTCACCCACTCTATACCCTTGTAGCTATCATAAAATTAGTAATAAAGTTGCACATTGGGCCTCAAGGAAACACAGAGTAACCACTTCTAGGAGTATTTTGGCTTTTAAATGGACACCTAATTTCACAGGCAGTTGGAGTCTTTTCATATTATGACTTACATTCTTTTCCCAACCCCTTCTATTTTACACTCCAGTGAAACTTCCTGAGTGTTGGATTATTGGTGATTTTATCATAGTAATGGGGATTTTATCTTAGTACAGGGGCACTTTATCACTGGACACACCCCCAGGCCTTTTTATTTTGACAGGGTCTCCATAAGTTGCTAAAGGTCCTGCTAAATTGCTGAGATAGGCCTTGAACTTGCAATCCTCCTTCCTTAACATAGTCCAATATTTGGAGAGTAATTTTCTGCTCTTTGTTGGTGGGACTAAAACAAATTCTATTCATAGATAGGAGAAATGAACCCCCAAATCCTGGATGTCAGTCTATAGTAGATCCTGGGCTGCTCTGGATTCTGAGAAAATTTTGCTTTCTCACCCCCACTACCTCTGGCCCAGCTCCAGCCAGCTGCAAATTGTCTGGATCTCACTGCTTCGACACACTGATATTATCAGCCTTGCTGTGCCTGAAGCATGCAGATAGGAACAGGCAATGGCGCCATCTCACCGGACATAGTAATGTAATTTAGTTTCTGAAATCCAAGTATAAAATCTTGAAAGTGGATTTTTTTTAATCTACATCAGGAGGAGGGGTGGTTGTATGGAATTCCCAGTGGAAACCATCTAAATAGGAAAATAGCTTCTGTCATGTATTAATAAATAGTTCAAAGCAATGGAAAAATATACAGAGAGGATTTGTAGGGAAAGTTAAGTGCCTAGTCTTTCTCGTCTCCTTCCTCCTCCCTCTGAACTGTGCCTAGAAGTAAGGACCACTCTATTTGTGTGATCCCCAAGCTAGAACTGGCAGACTCTTCCTGAGCATTCCTGAGAGTCCCCTGTTAAGAGAGATCAACAGGTACTGCCTGCCCCTGGGGTCATGCCATGGCAATTTGAGTGGGCCTCAACAAGCACTTTTTTTTTTTTTTGAAAGGAGTTATTCAGATATGGCTAAGAATAGGGGGCGGGGAAGGGGGCAAGCAGTGATAGAGTGCTTGCCTAGCATAAAGCACTGGGTTCAATCCTCAGTACTACATAAAAACAATTAAATAAAATAGGGGTGGGGCTGTTTTGATCCTATGTCTGTTCAGTGTTTTCTGACAACCTAGGGCTTCAACAATGTTCACCAGGCAATTAACTCACCCAAGGCAGAGGAACTCTTGGGAATTCAGACATAAGGGCAAGGAGACTATGAAAATAGTCCCTGGAACAGCAAACATACCTTGTGGCTGAAGAGTAGGTTCTGTAGATTCCAGTTTGCCTGTGAATGCACAAACTTTTAGAATCCAGAGAGATTGTTTCACTCTCTGAGAGACTAGGTCTGTTTTTATTCAGGCCCTGAGATCCCAGAAAAAAGCCTCCAGGGCAGAGAGTAAATGAGTTGTCTCAGGTCAATGCCTTATAGCAGCCCTGGGATTAGAATTTATGGGCCCTTCTTTCCAGTCAGCTGCTCCCTACCCTGAGTCCTGCACTGTTCTTCTTCTGAATGCTCAGGATTATATTCAATTTAGTAAGGTTTGTGGTCATACAATCATGGCTCCTAAATAAAACAATGAGTACAGAGCATCTGCTATGAGGAAGGCAAACACAGGGGCGCCTTTGCCCCTGAGAACAGACAGAGAGCAAGCTCTGGCTGAGGTTAGGCTGTTCTACTTGAACAAAAACCAACACAAACAGACCTCTTGGGATCTGTCAAAATCCTCATCTGTTCTTGTTGCTTCTCTAGTCATTGTTGTGAGTTAAAAGAACCTGTGCTTAGTCCCATTGAAGGGCCTTTCCTGGAAGATGGAATGAGCTATTTCCAGGAGCAAGAAAGAGGCCAGGCTGAGGGGACATTCTGGGTTCAGATCCCCTGAGCATTTTTTCACCATAAATTAGTTACTACATTGTCAATGGCCCCATCTCCAGGAGCACTACACAGCAACACCTCTTCAGGTGGGGTGGAAGCAGCCCCAGTCATTCAGACTAAATTCTGCCAGGTCTACTCATGGCTCAGTGAGATGTTCTTTCCTTCTTGCCCTTCTTTGTCTTTTATTTTATTTATTTATTTTTGGATTGAACCCAGGGGTACTTAACCACTGAGCCACATCCCCAGCCCTTTTTTATATTGTATTTAGAGACAGGGTCTCACTGAGTTGCTTAATGCCTAGCTTTTGCTGAGGATGGCTTTGAACTTGCAATCCTCCTGCCTCAGCTGCCCAGGCTGCTGGGATTACAGGTGTGAATCAACACGCCCAGCCCTTCCTTCTCTTATTGTGGCTGATTGGTGTAGCTGGAGGAGCCTGGCACTGTTTTCCAGGGGTTTCTCTATTTCACCAGTTAGATCAGTTTCTTTGACTGGGAAGTTCTTTAAGATATAAGGCATGCAATGTCCTTTGGTTTGATGGTTCCTTCAGTGAAAAACCCAGGAACCTATGAAAGTTGAAGAAAACAGTCTCAAAAGGAGGAGGACTTACATGAGATCAGAGCAGGGCTGATTGATAGAAATGGGATGGCCATGGAAGACTCCTACTTCATGTCTTGAAACATGCTCAGTATTACTTTGTAGTATCCCATCCCTCATGCCATGATGGAAGAGGTGATGTTAGAGGAAAAAGGCCCTCACCAACATGCAGAGTCCTACAGCCCTGAGGTATCAGGGTGCCAGATTCTGGCTAGAGACAGCTCAGGAGATGACCTGATTGTCTTGCAAGCTTACTTTACCTTCAGAGTGATGGTGACTTTAGTAGAGAGCTCAGTGGGTCTAGTTGTGTTTGAGGGGAGGTAGGAAAGGACTGGAAGAGATAAGGGTTGATCTTTGAAGAAGAGGTCAGGATCTTCACAGATAGGGAAATAAACAGGAAGGCTACTAAAAAATCAATAAGCACAGAGGATTAAGGACATGGGCATCTAGGTCTTTCAGACCTGGCAGGACAGGCAGGACTCATCTAGGAGCTCTCCAGGGTTCTGAACTGTATCCCCTGAAGACCTTGGAGGATTTGGACAAGAGCCCTTCCCACTGGTTAATGCTGACCTTAAATGCCACTGAATCATCTATGTCCACTGGTGATATCAATTGCTTGTCTGAACCCGTGTCCTGCATGGCCCAAAGCAGCTCCAGAATGATTCCAATCACTCCCTATTACCACAGCCTGGGCTTCACGCCAGCTGCCTGTCTCTCTGGTCAGATTTTGAACAATGGGTGAGGTTCAGACTCTTGGTGTGTGTGTGTGGTGTGTGTGTGTGTGTGTGTGTGTGTGTGTGTGTGTGTGTGTGAGAGAGAGAGAGAGAGAGAGAGAGAGAGAGAGAGAGAGAGAGAGAAATATCTCCCAGTCACTCTGAAAGCTCAGGACAAAGCATACCTGGCTCAGGAACAAGTAGCCATAGGGAAGCGAGAGAGTTCTCCATTTAGTATATCCTCAGGATGCTGCTCATCTGCCTCTCCCTTCTCCTCAGCAGCCACTGCACACATGCCAGAATTCTCCATTCTGTCATTGCAGAGTCTGTTCTGCTGCAGAGAAGGTAGTCTCCTTTGTCTGCAGCAGAACACACCCGATTTATTCTCATCATAGATATTACAGAAATTTGGCAAAGAGCACCAAAATGTCAATTTTTTTTTCTAAATTCAAGGGGAATACAGTCACTGTAAAAAGTTCAGATAAGCAGAAATAAGAAGGAAAAACATCATCACCCTCAATCCTACCTCCCAGAGCTATCCAGTGTTAATTTCCTGGCACACAGTGGGTCCTTGTGTATGCATATGGAGTGTGTGTGTATATGTGTATATATGTATGTATGTACACACACACACACACACACACACACACACACACACACACATACACACACGGTTCTCTCTTCAAGCGCAGGGGCCCCAGCCCTTTGGCCCACCTTCTCTGGCCATCAATTTTCTGCCTCTCTGCCTAGGAGTATCCATTTTCCTCATACAAGTCCATTTGCCTGGCTTGGGTAAACCTGCTTCTGGCAGTTTGATTCCTGCCTCTATTTCCCACTCCTTTCCTTACCTGCTCTACTGACTCTTCTCTTGGGGTCAATATTCCTAAAATCCAGTGGTCTTTTCTCAGATGATCTCCCATTGGCTTTTGAGTGCTGACCAGATATTTCTTTTTTTTTTATATTAAATATTTATTTTTTAGTTCTCGGCGGACACAACCTCTTTGTGTGTATGTGGTGCTGAGGATCGAACCCGGGCCGCACGCATGCCAGGCGAGCGCGCTACCGCTTGAGCCACATCCCCAGCCCCCTGACCAGATATTTCTGGAAACCTTATATTTCTTTGACTTTTATGCAAATATTCTATCCCTATTTATTCTAACACTTTCCTTATTATTTTTCTTCTTACACTGTAGGCACTCTACCCAGGGTGCCTAGTGATTTTTTTTTCAACATGTCCTTTCCTGGCATCTCAAATAAACATTATTTCAAGTAACACCTCTTTGGGTTTTATTCCCTAGTCTACATATCCATCTCTGACCTCTTTCTTAAATACCAGACCCACACTTCCAACTGCCTGCTACTTCCAATGATATCATGCTCCTCCATGGCCTAGTGCTTCCTTTCCCAATCAAATGAACTCAAAAAATGTGGGGGTGGGAGGAGTTTAAAAACGTTTATTTTGAAATATATACATACATATGCATATATATGTATATATATACACATGCACACACACACACACACACACATTGTACCATAGGCAATCTCTTAGGTATCCCATTATGGTTTTAAAGTGAAATTCTCTAACAACAAATAATGCTGAGTATTTATTCACATGCTTATTTGCCATTTGGTTATCCACTTCAATGAAATACCTGTTTATGTGCTTTGTTAATTTTTAAAAAATATTTTTAGTTGTAGACAGACACAATACTTTTATTTATTTTTATGTGCTTTGTTAATTTTTAAAAAATATTTTTAGTTGTAGACAGACACAATACTTTTATTTATTTTTATGTGGTGCTGAGGATTGAATCCAGTGCCTCACACATGCTAGGCAAGTTCTCTACCTCTGAGCCACAACCCCAGCCCTGTTTTGTTAATTTTTAATTGCATTATTTACTGATTGTTGGAAAAAAAAGAACCTTGATTCACACATTAAACTCAGATTAGCATGTATTTACTAAAAACAGTATATATAAATTATGCTGGCTACTGCAAATAAAAAGAAAAAAAACTAAGATGCTTATTATTATTAATATTATTATAGTTGTAGATGGACACACAATATCTATGTTTATTTTTTATTTTTATTTTTTAATTTGTTTAGTTGTAGATGGACAGAATGCATTTATTTTGTTTATTTTTATGTGGTCCTGGGGATCGAACTCAGTGCCTCACACATGCTAGGCAAGCATTCTACCACTGAGCCACATCCCCAGCCCCCTAAGACATTTTTAAACTTGGAGAAATTAAAAATTGTTAGTATGTTTAAAAAAAACTTTTTATTTTGAAATAAATTTATTTACTTGTAGAGACAGTCTAGAGAGTCCTTGCATACCCTTCACCCACTTCCCCTAATAGTAGCATCTTACATAACCATAGTACGTTTATCCAATCTAAGAAATCAACACTGCTACAATATTATTAACTAAACTAAGGAGTTTATGCACATTTTTCCAGTTTTTCTACTAATATCCCTTTTCTGTCCAGGTCCATATTACATGTAATTGACATGTCTCCTTAGTTTCTCAGTCTTTTCTTTACTTACATGATCTTGACTTTTGAAGAGTATAGGTCAGGTGTCTTCTAGTGTCTGTTCAATTTGGATTTGCTTGGTGTTTTCTCATGTTTGGACAGAGATCATGATTTTGGAAAAGAATACCATGGACGCAATGCATCCTCTTCATCACTGCATATTAGGAGGTATTTGCCTTATTACCTGTGTTATTAACCTTAATTACTTAGGGTAATGTTTGCCAGGTCTCTTTATTATAAAGTTACTATTTTTCTCTTACCATATTCTATTTATCAGAAAGAAGTCACTAAGTCCAGCCCATACTCAAGGGGAGGGAAATTAAGTTCTATCTCCTTGAGGGAAGAGTATCAAAATTTGTGGAACTATGTTAAAACTATCAGAGTAATTAATACATATTTTAAAACAGATTCTTATAGGCTAGGCAAATACCTTGTTTCTCCTTAAAGTTTCACCCACTAATTTTAATAATCAATTTGTCTTGATAGCAGCCATTATTACTATGATATTCTAATGTAATTTTTATTTGCCTCATTCTTTCTATAAATAATGTAAAATTTAAACAAAATAAAAAATATAAAAGGGCTGGGGATGTAGCTCAGTGGTAGGTACAGTGCATGCTTAGCATGTTTGAGGACTCAGTACCACCAAAAAAGAAAAAAAGATATGTGTGTGTGTGTGTAAACTAGAATTCCTCTGAAAAGAATATCTGTCCCTTTTCCATTTATTTATTCACTCATTTATTTATATCAGTATGGATTGGTATATATTTATTTTATTTGGGGAGTTCTAATCCAATACTATCAATATTTATTTTTTTTGCTCAGATTGTTACAGCTTTGACCACTGGGAGCTCTTTCAGGTTTGCTCCTGTTTCCTTTTGACCTGCCTATGAGGTCACTGAGGTCATTTTGATCCACCTCCTTCCTCTGTATAACTCTGAAAAAATAATTGTAAACATGGCAGCATTTTCTTCAAAATATCTAACATTGTTTGTTTGTTTTGGTACTGGGGATTGAACCAGTACCAAAGGGATACTTGACCATTGTGGTACCTCTCCAGCCCTTTTAATTTTCTTTATTTTGAAATAGGGTCTCATTTCATTAAGTTGCCAAGACTGGTCTTGAACTTGTGGTCCTTCTAACTCAGCCTCTCCAATTGTTGGGATTACAGGCATGCACCATTGCACCCAGGATTTTTTTTTTTTTTTTTACTTTGACACTGGTTTATGATATGTTGCATGGGCTAGTGTTGAACTGCTGGAGTTAAGTGATCCTTCCACCTCAGCCTCCCCAGTGCTGGGACTACAGGTGTACACCATCATACCCATGTTTGTATATTTTAACATTTCCTCAGCCAACACTCTGCTTCAGGTCTTTGACAACTTATCCCCATCTCACTACCCTGTCTCCTTTTCCTCCAACTCATCTTGTAAATTACTCTAAGAATACTCTTCTGAGAATTAAACATTTCTCTGATTATAGTACTCCTTTGCTTGAGACACCCCCAATGGCTCCCACTACTTAAAAACTCATTGATCTGGCATTCAATATTTTTTAAAAAATGACTCCAACTTGCCAATCAGGCTACTTCCCCCAATTGCTCATCTTTCTAGATTCTTTGTTCTCTTTCCCCCATGTCAGCCCTCTACAATGACTTCCAATGTCTACATCTAGTCTGACTATATCATTTTAAGCCATTAAAATATCTTTATTGGTTTCCTTAACTTACAAAAGTAATGCATGTTCAATGGAGAAAACAAAACAATACAGAAGCAGATGAAGTAGAAAATGAGTCTGATTCTCCTCTGCCCTCCCCCTTCCTCAGGCTGGATTTAAGAATGAGTGGCCTTTTGGGCTGGGTGTGTAGCTGGGTGTGAGAAAGCACTTGCCTAGCATACAGAAGACCATGGGTTTGATCTCCAGCAACACACACACACACACACACACACACACACACACGTCTCTTTATTAAAAAAAAAAAAACACATGTCTCTTTATTATAAATCAATGGCCTTTCAAGATTTTTCAGTATTCTCCTATCATCCTACTAAACTGCTATGTCATAATAAACAGATTTAGAGGTATGCTTGTTTACATGAGTTCATAATACAAATATGAAAAGGTTAAATTTAGAAAAATGTAGGTCTTTATGTTTGTATTACAACTTATAGTTTCAAATCATTTTCCTTATTATTATCTCTCATCTCTGACAATCGTAAGAGAGAGAAATAGCATCTATTATTTAATCCCAATTTTGCAAATAAAAAAATCTGAAATCCTGTCAAGCTGAGCAGCTCCCCTGGAATCTCCTAGCTGGGACAAGGTTCCAAGTTTTCTGGCCCCTTTTCTACTTTACCACACAAAAAGACCATATGGAAAACCACAACACAATAAGCAGCAACACTGGGCTAGGATGTGGCTCAAGCGGTAGCGCGCTTGCCTGGCATGCGTGCGGCCCGGGTTCGATCCTCAGCACCACATACAAAGATGTTGTGTCCGCCGATAACGAAAAAATAAATATTAAAAAAAAAAAATCTTTCTCTCTCTCTCTCTCTCTCTCTCTTTAAAAAAAAAAAAAAAAGATAAGCAGCAACACTAATGGGAGGGAGGCCAGAAGCCAAAGAGAACCACCCAGAATATTCAAATATAAGCAGTCATGGCTTTACCTTGGGGAATGTGAGAATAAATTTGTTCCTTTGCTTCTCTTCTATGGCAAAGATAAAACTGCAGGAAATCTTTCAACAGGTAGTAAGATTCAGGACTATAACTGTTTAAGGTTAATGGCTTTCTA